AGAAAGGGAAGTCCCTAAACTTTGTTGGGAATATAAACTAGTGCAGCCACTATAGAAAACAGTCTGGAGGTTGTTCAAAAAACTAAAACTAGAGCAATCATACGATCCAGCAATTCTACTAGTGGATATATATTAAAAAGAAATCAGTATATTGAAGATGTATCTGCACTCCCATGTATACTGCAGCACTATGACAATGGTCAAAATATGAATTCAACCTACATGCCCATCAATGGATGAATGGATAAGGAAAACATAGTATATATACACAGTGGGCCTCTGCTCAGCCATACAAATGAATGAAATCCTGTCACTTGCAGGACCTGGTTGGAACTAGAGGACATTATGTTTAGGGAGATAAGTACAGAAAAACAAATACTGCACGTTCTCATTTATACGTGGGAACTAAAAAGATGGATCTCACGGAGGCAGAAAATGGATTTGTTTTCAGGGGTTGGGAGCAGTGGAGGGGGGGAGAAGAAATGAAGAGAAGTTGATGGGTACAGATATATGATTTGATGGAAGAAATGAGAGCTAGTGTTAGATAGATTAGTAGAATGACTATAACAGTAATGACTATTGCATATTTAAAACTAGCTAGAAGGAAATAATTGGAATGTTTCTAGTATAAACAAAAGACAAATATTTAAGGTGATGGATATCCTAATTACATTGATTTGATATTCATAAGTTATATAAACATATACAATTATTATATTGCCCATCTCTTATGTTTCAATAAAAATAAGTAAATTGGGAACATTCAAGTTTGCATTAAAAAATTTCAACTGCAATGTTTATTTTATGTTATTATCACTAGTTTTCACAAACATGGAGAAATGCAAAGATATATAATGCTGCAAATTTATTATGACGATCTTACAATGCTTAAAACTTGTTGTGTATTGAGTTTTCTTTCCAGATATATTAATAATTTCCCCAGGAAATAAGTTTCTAATCATATTCCACATATTTTGACATTTACATTTACATACCCTGAAACACGGCATCCAGGACAAGGAAAGAATCTTATTTCAGATGAAAAACTGTATGTTTTCTTATTTCCTCAGACTTTCTTTCAAATTATATTTGTCCCTATTTTATTAAACAGGCCAAAAATTTCACCAAAAATGCAGGTGGAAGCCACTTATGAAATTGAGTTATCCTGGTACTGGCACAAGAACAGACATATAGACCAATGGAATAGAATTGAGATTCCAGAAGCAAAACCTCAATTTTCCAAACAACCCATCTTCGACAAAGCCTCCACCACCAACCACTGGGGAGAGGAGAACCTATTCAGTAAATGATGCTGGGAAAACTGGCTGACCAGATGCAGAAGATTAAAACAAGACCCTTACCTATCACCATACACACAAAAAATCAACTCTAAATGGATCAGAGACCTAAACGTAAAACCTCAAACTATAAGAACCTTAGAAAATGCAGGAGATACTCTTATGGAAATTGGAACTGGCAACCAATTCTCTGATCAAAACCCCAAGTGCCCATGCCATAAGAGATAAGATAGACAAGTGGGACCTTATCAAACTGACAAGCTTCTGCAAAGCCAAAGAAACCATCAAAACAGCAGGGAAGCAGCCCATAGACTGGGAAAAACTATTTGCCAACTCTATATCTGACAAAGGCCTAACATCTAGGATCTACAAGGAACTCAAATGTGCTGAAAAGAAAAAAAAACAAACAGTCCCATTACAAAGTGGGCAGAAGATATGAATAGACAGTTCTCAAAAGAAGGCATACGAGCAGCCAACAGATACATGAAAAAACGTTCAGCCTCACTAGTCATCAAAGAAATTGGATTGCCTGAGCCCGTGGGTTCGAGACCCGCCTGGGCAGTGAGACCTCATCTCTACAATAAATCAAAAAATCAGCAGGGCGTGGTAGCGTGTGCCTGTAATTCCGGCTACTCGGAAGGCTGAGGCGGAAGGATCGCCGGAGCCCAGTGGGTCGAGGCTGCGGTGGCCGGGAGCGGCCACTGCACTCCAGTCTGGGTGACAGAGTGAGACTCCAACTCA